CATAATAATACGAGTTCCTCTCAGAATAATACCCAACTGTTCATTAATTGTTAGTTCATCTCTTACCTTTGCAAACAGATTCAATTCACTTACGTCTTCTCCAGTTGTTGGCAAGTCTTTTATGGAGCCCCATGCTTGCTTGCGAATAATTTCAGTAAGCAGTTGTAAAGTTTTATCGTGTTTAGTAGCTTCTTGTATTTCCTGTATTGTCATCGCTTTTGGAACTGCATGCATGGTGAGGAAATTTACATATTGTTCTGCTGACATTTCATGTTTGTTACCTGTTTCTTGACAGGGGTGGCGGGATAAAAAATCGGAGGGATTATCACTGCCTTTAGTGTACATTATATCAAAATCAAAGTCCTGAATTCTTAAGTTCCAGCGTTCTATGCGTGCAGGGGGTTTGGACTTCGGGTTTCCTAGGATTAGTTCAATGGGCTTGCAATCGGTGTATAAAGTAAACTTACCACCACGTAAATATATCTGCAACCGTTCCATAGCCCAAACAATAGCGAGTGCCTCGCGTTCTGTTTGTGAATATTTTCTCTCTACCTCAGATAACGACCGACTAACATAAGCCACAATTCGGCGATCATCATGTTGTGTTGAATTTTGAGCAAGCATTGCAGATAACCCCCATGGCGATGCATCTGTGATTAATTCAGTTGGTTTTGTTTGGTCAAAGTAAGCCATTACTGTATCACTGGTCAAAGCATTTTTAATGTTATCAAATGCAGTTTGTTCACATCTTGTTCAACGGAATTGAGCACTTTTCATGGTTAACTTACGAAGAGGTTCACTCAAGTGACTGAAATTGGGTATAAATTTGGCACAGTAGGTGGCCATTCCTAGAAAACTACGAACATCCTTAACAGAGCTTGGTGGTGATGCATTCTTGATTGCTGAAACTTTATGAGGATCCGCAGAAATTCCTTCTGCCGAGAAAACCATACCAAAAAATGTCAATTTGGTTTGACTGAATTGGCATTTTTCGTTGTTCAAAGTTAGACCAACTTTGGTAAAGCGCTGACAAACATTGTGAAGAGCGGTATCGTGTTCTTGTTGAGATTTCCCATAGATTATGACATCATCACTTATATTGATAGCACCAGGTATGTCATGAATTTGATCGTGGATAACTTTCTGGAATAGTTCACTAGCTGAATTAGTTCCAAAAATAAGGCTTTTATATCTACGTAATCCTTTATGTGTCACAAAGGTGGTAATATATCTGCTTTCCTCTGCTAACAACAACTGATGATATCCCGAACGCAAGTCTAGTTTGGAGAATACCTTGGCACCATTCATTGCATGTATAAGATCATCAACCGTGGGACATGGGTGTCGCTCTCTCTGGATAGCACAGTTTGCACGCCTCATGTCAACGCAGAGGTGCACAGTTCCGTCATTTTTGGGAATAACAACCAGAGGCGAAATCCATGGTGTGGGCCCCTCAACTTTCTCAATTATGTCATCCTTTTCCAGTTGTTTAAGAGCAGCAGAAACTTTTCTTCGTAAATGAAATGGAATTCGACGTGCTGGTTGTGCTACAGGGGGTACAGAAGAATCAATATGCAACTTTGCCTCAAAATTGTGTAATTTTCCAATTCCATGAAACAATGGGGAAATTTTTTGTCCATTTTATCTTTTAGAGAGTCGTGACATTGTTCAATTTTGTCATTACCGGTGACTTTGACATTGTTGACATTTACTTTTATAAGGTTTAGTTCTGTAGCCGTTTGATACCTTAACAGTGAGCCATAATTGCCTCTGACTACATGAATAGTAGAGACAGTCATTCGTTTTTTTGTCTCGATTGTGGCTTCGAATGTCCCAATCACTGGTAATTGTTGTTTGGAACCATACACAAAGAGTTTAGTACGTGTTCGTTTTAATGAGATACGTTTGTATTTGTTGATATTGGCGAATGTATTTTCGTCAATAATGTTAATTGATGCCCCAGTGTCTATTTTGACATGTACATTGTTTATTTGTACTTTGGTCGAAGGCATTTTTGTTGATTTAGAGTCGACACATGTTTATAAATGCTCATCATCGCTGCTGCTACTAGGGCTATTCGAATAGTGGTCTTCTTGATATCCAACCTGTTGAATATTGTGTTGATTGTTGTCTGGGCGGATAGGTCTAGGTCTTGTATTAATAGGATTCCTTGTCGATGGGACGCTGCTGCGACAAACTCGGGCATAATGGTTTTGTTTATTACATTTTCGACATGTTTGTCCTTTAGCAGGGCAAGGTGCGTCACGATGAGGCCAAGATAATCCACAGTTGCGACACTGTTGTTGTTGCTGTTGTCCATTAGATCTTGGGGGATTTACAAAATTTGCTTCTTCGTCTTGAATATTAGTCGATGCTAAACGTTCTTCAATGCCCTTGGCTTGCTGTTCGCTATTTTCCAATGTTCTAGCTTTCGATAACAACTCGGTGAGAGTCACTTTATCTTGCCGTAAGGCATACCGCCTGAGATGTTTAGATCGACAATTTTGAATAATAGCCGATTTTATTTCATGGTCTACATCGTGGAATTCACAGTGAGCTGCCAGTTTGCGAAGTCGTGTTGCAAATTGGTCTGTTGGTTCATCGGCGTTTTGCTTTGCTTGACGGAATTGAAATATCTCGTAATCCACATTTTTCTTCGGGGAAAAATATTCGTCCAATTTCTCAATTGCAGTCTTGTAATCATTGTCCTCTCCTGTCTCTGAAAGTGTATCGAAGATTTCCTGTGTTGCCTCACCGGCTTGATAAAGTAACAATGCTTGTTTCTGGGCATTATCTTTCACATTTACCGCGACTAAATACGTTTCGAATCTGCGTTTCCAAACTTTCCATCGTTGACTTAAGGATGTCGGTTCTGATATCGGATCAAACGGAGCAAGAGGAGCTACATCTATCTTTCCCGCAGTTGCCATACTAAAGCACTGATATCGATTATAACTTTCGTTTTAGCACATTTTTCCTCGTCGCCATTGTAATGTTGTACTTATTTATTCAACGCTCAATCAATCACTAATGTGAACACACCCTAAAACTATATATAAATGTTATTATATCACATGTCTATCATGTGATCACTGCACAAACAGCCACACAAATGGTTGAAATGGCTACCTTTGCTTGAACCCCTAGAACCAAATGAGACAGACGAATTTTCATACAGAAATAACTCTGAAATTAAGGAAGCGACTAATGCTCAATTCAACGATCCAGACGAAACTAATTGGCATGTTAAGTCCTCTGAACCACCAAATTCCATCCAGTCTCTCTCTAGAACAAATACAAATAATTGCCTGCGGCCAAACCTGATAAATTTTCTGCAACATCGTTCGAACCGTCGCCCTCCGGACAGGCTCAAATATTTGGACCTATAGTCAACCAAATAACCAGAACCAGTACGTAATACCTGACTTGGCATATATATCTTTTGGTCCAATTTCTAATTGTTTGAATAATGAGGCTGAAACCATCCCGGTTAGAATAACCAACCGTCGACTAGTACAGAGGTCTACTAACCAAAAACTCAGTCGTAACTTAATACTTATTCCAGTAAGGAAAAACAATATATGTGAATCATCAATTGCCTATTCAGTTCCATCTATACTCTTAACCAACGCATGTCATGTAACGAATAAAATAACTGAACTCTCTGGAATTGCCGCAGTCAATAACCCCTCCTTGATCATAATTACAGAGTCTTGGCTGAACTCAAACATCCCGGATGCTGCTGTGGAAATAAGCAATAAATTCAATGTACATCGTCGTGATCGTCCCACGCCTGGTGGCGGTGTCTTAGCCTACGTGAATAACAAAATACCAACTACCCGCCTAAGAAATCTTGAAGAGGATGGGAAAGAAGTCCTATGGCTCTTACTTAAACCGCCCAGAACCCCCAGGCCCTATAGTGCGATAATAGTTATTGGTGTGTACTACCCACCTGGACAGACAATTGAAGATGAAAGAGCAAAGTACGAGTATGTTACTAACGGACTTGACAACATTTTGCAGGACCACCCTTCAGCTGGCGTAATTATCGCCGGAGATTTCAATAAAATGAGACTGAACCCACTATGTAGACGTTTCAACCTTAAAAAAACCGTACGGGCTCCTACAAGAGGTAGAAATATTCTAGACCAAATCCTTACCAATATGCCAGAGCTATACAATGATGTCCAACATCTGCCACCGATCGGCTGTTCCGACCACCAGTGCTTACTGCTCACCCCAAAGTTGAAACAAAAGGTTAAACCGGTCTCCCGAAAAGTGCGCCTGACGAAATGTAGTAACCTAATCGAACTGGGCATACATATGAATAGAGAGAACTGGGAAACAGTCTACGATGCCAGAGAGGTTGACGACAAAGTAAGTGCGTTCACTTGTACTATCGTGCGCATGCTTGATAAATCGCTGCCTAAACGCACTGTACGTGCCCACCCCTCCGATAAGCCGTGGATGACACCGCGTATAAAGCATGAAATAAAAGGTAGGCAAAAGGCGTTTACATCTGGAGATATAGCAAGGTACAAACTATTATGTGACAAAGTTACCTCACTTGTATCAAATGCGAAAAAGAATTACTATCAACTAAAAGCAGAGGGTACACGCGAAACGAATCCGGCAAAGTGGTACAAAACCATATTTGAACTTGCTGCCGCTAATGACTGTAACTCTCAACCACCAGCTGATGATGCAGCAGACTTAGCGGAACGCCTGCAACAAAGCTTCACCAAACCTTGGCAGAATGCCAACCCCACTGAAATTCCGGACGTTGGGGAAATTGAACACCTACTTAAGAATGATACCAGTCCCCCGTTGCCTTCCATCGGACAAATTAAGGCTACCCTTAAACATCTAAATCCCAGGAAGGCCACTGGCTCAGATGAGATCCCTTCATGGTTACTGAAACGTTACAATGAAGAACTTGCCCCTGTTATTCATAACATCATATGCTCCAGCATCTCCCAGGCTAAATACCCAACCCTATATAAACACGCATTGGTCACCCCAGTGCCTAAAATATACCCTCCTAATGACATGGACAATGACTTCCGCCAAATCTCAGTATTACCGCAATTGGCTAAAGTCTTAGAAAGCATCCAACTTAAATTAAACAGAGGGGACCTTAAGATCAAAGATAATCAACATGCATTTACACACGGTAGATCAACTGTATCTGCACTGGCGAGCATCACACAAAATTGGTTCAACAAGACTGAAAACTCACGTGATGGAAGAATGGGTGTCCACGCCCTATTTATCGACTTTTGCAAAGCATTTGATCTGGTGGACCACGGATTGCTTTTAAGGAAGCTCGCCAAAATGAACGTGTCGAAAAGCTTCTGGCTATGGACAAGGAGCTTTCTAGAAGGGAGGAGTCAGCAAGTAAAATTACGAGGTGCTCTGTCATCTATAAGGCCTTGCCTTACCGGAGTCCCACAGGGATCTGTTATATCACCAACATTGTTTAATGTTCATGTGGATGACCTCGAAGACTGCATTCCCAGTTATCTGGACATCAACACGCAGAAATACGCAGATGACTGCACTCAAGATGAAGTGATTCCATATGGTTCTACTAGCAACATGCAAGAGGTGCTTGATACAATGAACGACTGGGCACTCAGAAACAAGATGAAACTTAACGCGAAAAAGACGAAAGACATGTGGATCTGCTTTAAAGCTGCAATTCCGGAACCACCATCACTTAAGATTGGCGATATACGATTGAAAGAGTAAACACGTTCAAGCTGTTAGGTCTTTGGATTAATGATACCCTTAAATGGAACACCCATATTGAAGAAATTACAAAGAAAGCAAACAAACGCTTATTCTACCTACGGGAATGTCGTCGAGCAAATCTACCAACCAAAGTGGGTTTAACGTGCTATAAAACCAAATTAAGACCGGTTCTGGAATATGCGGCCCCAATATGGGTGGTCTGCCACAATACCTTACAGACGAACTGGAGAGTATCCAGACTAGAAGCCTGAAAGTTATTGGGCTACCTTCTGATTCTCTTCAGTCTCTAGAGCAACGTCGGGATAATCTTGCCATTCGTGAGTACAAGAAAATCATTAATGATGAAACGCATCCATGCAGGAAATATATACCTGACATAGTGACGAACACGTATGACTTAAGAACACCAAAAACTCTTCCCCAATTTCTCTCATACACTAGAAGGCATGAACTGTCGTTTATTCCGAGAACAAACTCGCTATTATAGACAATATTTTTATAACTACTCCTAAAATTTTTATCTGTACATATAACTCCTAGACTACTACTTAGATTTTACTAACTGTAAATCCATTGTATTTTTACACTAAAGATGGATCAATAAAACTATTAACTATTAACTATTAGTGGTCTAAATTTTGGGGGTCCAAAAATTTTTTGGATTTCAAGTGCGAGCGCCGAAGGCGCGAGGAAAATTTTGAATTTCTAGATTCATTAGAACGCTATTTCACGTATTTTAGGATGAGGTTTGAAGAAAAGGTACTATCGCAAAAAGGCATTTTTACAGTGAAAATACAAAAAGTGTCCCATTTCCGCTTCTGTAATTTGTTGTGATTTACTGTAATTTGTTCTGTTTTTCTGTAGCGATTACCGATTTATCGGCAAATACTGCGATAAAATTTAAATTTCGTTCTTTTTATGCAACGAAACTAACGAAAAATATATTATTTCAATTACTTCCCTTTGCTACAAATTATCATATTTAAAAATAGAAAAAAGTTTTATCGCGGTATAAAAATAGAACAAATTGCCGTAAATCACAACAAACTACAGAAACGGAAGTGGGACACTTTTTGTATTTTCACTGTAAGTCGCCTAGTTGTTAGATCGAAAAAATATTTATGTAAAACATTGTACTCTACACGCAAATACAACAGCAAAATAGCACGATGTCTTCCTTTTGTACAAGTTGGTAATGACTGCTGTTATGCGCGCAAATTCAAGTTCTAATGTGCTTTCAACAATCATAGGCATTGTTTACTGGAGTTAGGATTCTAGATAGGGAAAACTACAACTTCTATTGGTAAACAGAAGAGATGGGTATCATTATTCACACATCGTACCCATCCAACAATTTCTGCCGGCTTTCAGGATTTCACAAGCGCAGTCCTTCCGCCCATTGCAGGGCCTCCCCCCTCTTGGCTACGCAGCTGAACTTCTGCCTTTCAAAGTTTCAGACTAACAATGCGCCTTTTAACTGCACCGCGGGGTATCGGGAATTGCTTTTTCCCAACACTAAAATATCACTCACAGAGTTTCGTTTTATATAGTTTTTTATTCGCGGTTACGTATCACTCCTCTCTCTCTCGCTTCTCTCGCACACTATCACTCCTTTTTACACTCTCATACTTATCTTATCAATCATCCGTATTTTATCTTGATCTCATTACTGCATATTTCTCAATGCCCTGCTATATATAAATGTTCAACAATTAAAAGTTCAAATTCGATTACTTAATATATAATGTCTATCAACTAATTATTGAAAACCTAACAACTTTCCAACACCCTCCCCCTATTTGCTACACGAAGTGTGCAAATATAATTAAATGTCTTAACAAAACGAGTTATAATAATGTTAAATGTAAAAAAAAACCTGTTCTTCAAGTTCAGACAAGTTACCATATTCATGATACAACAGTTTTTTCACTGATCCTCTTCATTTTCTGCGATGTCTTGCAATCGCATCGTTGCAGCTGCAGCAGCATCTCGCTTCGGTCTGAATGCTTGAGCATTTGGGTCAAGATCTTGTGTGTTCTTCTTGGGCTTGCTCACGTCACACGAGAGTTCTAACGGGTAAAGATGCTGCACGGCACGTTCGAGGTGACTTTTACCTGCTCGCAATTTCGCTACACGAACAACTCCGTCACGTCCTGCAATCAAATCCTCCACGATT